CATTAAGCAAAAAATCGGAGAAGCTGGACTATATGAACAAGAACATGGCATCAGGATTGGGGGAAGACTCATTAGCACCTTGCAATGGGCAAATGACACAACCTTGCTTGAAGGTGACTTGAGGTGACTTGAGGCACTTACTGATGAAGATCAAAGACTACAGTCTTCAGTATGGATTACACCTCAGCATAAAAGGAACAAAAATCCTCACAACTGGAACAATAAGCAACATCACGATAAATGGAGAAAAGATTGAAGTTGTCCAAGATGTCATTTTACTTGGATCCACAATCAACACCCGTGGAAGCAGCAGTCAAGAAGTCAGACATCATACTGCACTGGGCAAATCTGCTGCAAAAGACCTCTTTAAAGTGTTAACAAGCAAAGATGCAACTTTGAAGGAGTAAGGTGCCCTGACCCCAGCCTTGATATTTCCAGTCACCTCACATGCATGTGAAAGCTGGACAGCGAATAAGGAAGACCAAAAAAGAGTTGATGCCTTTGAATTATGGTGTTGGCGAAGAATGCTGAAAATGTCATGGACTGCCGTAAGAACGAACCAATCTGTCCTGAAACAAGTGCAGCCAGAATGCTCCTTGGAAGTGAGACTGGCCAGACTTCGCCTCACCTACTGTGGTCATGTGGTCCGAAGGGACTGTTCCCTGGAGAAGGTGTCATGCTCGGTAAAGTAGAGGGTTAGCAAAAAAGGGGCAGACCCTCAAGGAGATGAATTGACACAGTGGCTACAACTCTGGGCTCAGGTAGAGCAAGGATTGTGAGGATGGTGCACCACTGGCCGTGTTTCATTTTTTGGTACATAGGGTCGGTATGAGTCAGAGTTGACTGAGTGGCACCTAACAACAACAGCATTATAGAAGGAAATCCTGTTTGCAGAAGTATTCACCTTTGGGGTCCTGTAAAATAGCAAGCTCCCCTGATGCATTAAACCTTGCGTTCAGTTTGCCAAATCTGAAGAATGGATATCAGTTTTAGGAGGTCATCTGTTAAGTGAGGCACATTAACCATTTATTTGCTCATTAGGTCTTCACCCAAGTCCTCTTCGGTATAAGCAGATGACAGTATGTTGTAGAGGACTCATGAGATAAGAACAGAAAAATGTCCACTGCATTTGGTAATTGGAGGCTCTTGTGGCGTAGTGCCTATGGCATTTGACTGCTAGCCAGAAGGCTGGTGGTTCAAACCCACCAGCCACTCCTTGGAAGGAAGACTGGGCAATCTACTTCCCTAGAGATACCGCCTTGGGAACCTGAGGAGGGGTTGAGAGTCTGATCCAACTTGACAGCAGTAAGTGTGGGTGGTGGGGTTTTTTTTTTGTTTTTTTTTTTTCCCCTTGCTTTGGTAGTTAGAAAATTGTTGGTGATCATCTTGACTAGAGAGGTCTCTGCAGCTGGTGGGGGTTGGGCAGAGAAATACGGCATTGAGGGCAGTACTAAAACCATTTATGTTTTCTTTCTTTCTTTTTTTTTTTTTTTTTTTTTTTTAGGTGTATGTGCAGTGTTATAAAATCAGTGGAAGGGGTATAAGTAAATAAGGATAGATAACTTTTTTCAGAAAGTTAGAAGAGGTAGGGCAAAGAATGGAGAAACAGGAGATGGAAGGATGTAAGGTCAAGAGGTGGTTGGATTCCTTTTCCTTCTTTTTTTTTTTTTATTTTCCCCCCACGTAGAAAGAGACCTAACCATATTTGTAGACTTGGGGGAAAGAGCTGAATGAGCAGGAGATGTTGAAGAGAAAGTATAATTAATTAATGACAGGTAAATGATATTGAAGTAATGGTATCAAGAGCACAGGTGGAATAATGAACAATGGGGAGGCCCGAGGAATAGAGGCAAGGATGGTACTGGGTAGATGGATTTCATTGGAGGGAGCAGAATAGTTAGGGAACTCCTGTGTGATGTACACTTGGCTCCTTCTTCAGAGGCCTGGTAGTCTGCTTAACATGAACGGTTGGAGCTTGAATAAAGGGTGTAAGGAGAATGGCTCCTAAGAATATAGGAAAGGACTGACTACAATAAAGAAATAATTCTAAAGGATGGCCATACCCTGCTAAGACAGCTTCTCTGGTGCTTTAGACTGTTCCAGAATAATTGGGCTGGTGGCCTGTGCATCTGACCTAGTAGAGCGTTTCTAATAACCTACTGAAGTGTGAGTTCCAATAGGTCTCTCATTTGGACATATTATTCCCATGTGGGAGCTCTGGTGGCATAGTCCCTAAGGCATTTGACTGCTAACCAGAAGGCTGGCAGTTCAAACACACCAGCCAGTCCTCGGAAGGAAGACTGGGCAATCTACTTCCGTAGAGAGACTGCCTTAAAAACCCAAGGATGAATTGCTGTGAGTTCTAACCCTATTTCCCTTTCTCCCTTCATTTCCAAACCTTTCCACTTTGTCCTCTAAAACTCCTTCCTTATAAAGAAATCCCTCAGGACCCTGAACGCTCCTGCCATCTCAGCATTTAACTCAGCACTGGGGATCCCTGAAGATAGCAGTCCTCTGAAGCTGCCACCAGTCAGTCCTACAACAACAGCAACCTTATTGAGTGTTTATTGTGTGGCAGGAATTGTTCAAAGCACTTTCAACGTGTAACTTATTTAATCATAACCCTCCCTATGAGATTGATTCTAATGTTACCTGCTTTTCATAGATGAAGAAACTGAGGTACCAAGAGATTATAGAACTTGCCCAAAGTCTGTGCTCAAACAGCTTGTGGGAGCAGAGGTAGAAGATGAACCTAGGAATCATGGCGCCCGACTTGGCTCTAGAGAACTGCTGTGCCAGCTCTCTTGAAGCCTTTTCATGTTGAGGCTGTTGAATTCCCTCTCATCCCAAATGCCTCATGTTCAGAGTGCTAGTTTGTCAATTCCTACATTTTTAAAAGATTTTATGTTACAAATCTGCTTGGCTTCTTGGCTTTCCCCACTGTTGGTTCAGTATTCTGCTTTTTCAGGTCTGCTGAGTCCAATAGTCTTTAAGGGTTTATAATTAAAAAAAAAAAAAAAAAATCTCTCTATTGTCATCATGTAGGGTTTTGAGAGGTTGTGGAGTTAATTGCTTGTGCTTAATTTATCGCTTTGAATGTGAACTGTAGGTTGGTTTACTATTAGAAAATATATTAATTTTCCAGGTACCATATTACTGAAAAACTCATTGTCATTGAGTCAATTCCAAGTCATAACAACTGTATAGGACAGAGTAGAACTGCGCCATAGAGTTTCCAAGGCTGTAACTTTATGGAAGCCTACTGCCGTATCTTTATCCCAGTGGAGTGGCTGGTGGGTTCAAACCACCCAACTTTCATCTGGCAGCTGAGCGCTTAACCACAGTGCCACCAGGCCTCCTTAGTTATCATATTGAAAGAAGAAATAAGCGTATGATCATCTTGATAGATCCAAAATGCACGTACTCTGATTTAGCCTTCCTGGTCTTGGCTTATTCCCTAAAGAGACTTGTACGTGTTTCTAGGATGCAGCTTATAGGAGTGTTCACAGCTGCGGTTAGTAGTGCCATAAAGCTGTGAACGGTTCACATGGACATGGACATGATCAGGGGAGCTGATGGCCAAGTTGTCTTGTACACATACAGTGCAAGACTGGAGCAATGAGATAATTGTCCTCCAGCTTACATTCATCAGTATAGATAAGTCCAGAGACAGAGTGCTGAATGTCAAAGCCAAGTGCTACAGTTCTGGTTTTTGTGAAGTTCAAAAACAAGCTCAACATACTCATTGCTTAAACACTATAAAGTATAAAACCAAAACCAAACTCACTGCCACTGAGTCAGATCCGACTCATAGGGACCCCTCCTCAGGTTTTCAAGGTGGTATCTCTACGGAAGTAGATCGCCCAGTCTTCCTTCCGAGGAGTGGCTGTTGGGTTTGAACCACCAGCTTTCTGGCTAGCAGTCAAATGCCATAGGCACTATGCCACCAGAGCTCCTACTAAAAAGTATAGGGAGTGGTAAACCAAAAGTTTGGGATCATGTTCCCTTGCAGAGAGTAGGGGAAAGTGGGGATGTGATTGGTACCAACAGATGGGGAGATATATCAGTGATTGAGTTCTGTTGTCAAATTGATTACTGGGCACTGGTATTACTCTTAGGCTCTATGAGTTAGAGATATGTAACATGTTCTCTTAATGTTTCATAACTAAAACATTTGAAAGTTGTAGGTACTAGATACTTTCTTTCCTTGTGGTGGTAGAAATAAAAAAGATTTTTTTTTTTCTCTTTTTTTCCTGGAACACCTTTTAATCGAGCATTTGATAAACTACTACATAAATAGTACATGTTAGATTCAACCTCATAGTTCCCTTGATAACCAGATAGTTTTCTAAATTGCCCACAATATTAGCTCAAAGTAAATAGGATGGAGAAACTGGTTTGATTGAGTAAGGGAAGTAAAGGAAATTATATTCTTAAGAACTTTTGAGTGTAAACCTAAACAAACAAACAAAATAAAATGGCTTAGAAAAGGTGTTTTTTTGAAACATGGGTTTGCCTGATGTTCTTATTTTTCCATTTTCTGGGTCTGGGTTACTCCTTGAACTAAGTGTAGAATCTTAAGATAAATAAATTGTTATGCGTGCAGTTGATACTGTCTTCTTTCTTTCCTTTCCTTAGACTGTTGCTTGGGTGTTTTTTTCCTTTTCCCCCAGTTTTGCATTATATCATCTGTGCTTCAAGCAACATGAAGATATCTATACTCCTGAATTTATTAGATAAATACCTACTAACTAACTGCTGTATCCCAGGTCCCATGCTGTAACGTTTTGTTCCCTGCATTGTAGAATTGACAGAGTAGTTTTGATTCACTGCATCTCTGTTTATCAGAAATCTTTATATTGATGACTACATGAAAATCTGACCAGTTAAGACATACTGTTCTTGGACAGAAGGGTAATAGGAGTTATTTGCTTGCCTTACTGTTTTCCTTCGTACCATCTCATCAGTTACTCTGAATATTCTTCTGCCTGTCTTCATAGCCGCTTCCTGAGAAGTTTGTGGTAAAAGGTGTTGTGGATCGTTTCTCAGAAGAGTTTGTGGAGACCAGAAGAAAAGCTTTGGATAAATTCTTAAAAAGAATCACGGATCACCCTGTGCTCTCCTTCAATGAACACTTTAACGTTTTCCTCACTGCTAAGGTAAGGACAGAATTTTGTATATTCCTCCCCAAAATAATCATTCTTAGGGCTCTTTTTTAAAAACCTGTTTTGATCTCTCACAAGCCACCTTCATAAATGTCCACTATAGCAGGTATCATGCAATTGCTCTCTTTTTCTGGTGCCTGTTTGCATTGGCAAGATTTTCATATTAGAATTCAGGAAAGAAAGTCCTTGCAGAAGCAGAGAAAGTTAGAATATTTTCATTCGCCAAAAGCAGAGGTAAACATTTTCTTAAACAGCTCTCAGCAGTACGATTCGGTTTGACCAACAGTGGATGTGGCTGGGAAAGAACGTTTATTGACTAAAGTATTGAGGACAGGAGTTCTTTATGATAACCCTTTAAGTAAGCGATTACTCATAGCCTCATTGTACAGAGGAGGAAACTGGAATTTAAAGTTTGTACTTGCTTACATCGCAAAACCTGGGTTTGAGATTGGATCTTTGTCGTTCCTGAGCCCAGACTTTTCTTTTTACATCATACTGCCTGACCAGGAGTACTTCAGCATTACTTGGCTACAACCATGGCCCTGTTGGGTGGGTATCTTCCAAGTACTTGACAAAGAAATATTTGGGTCCTACACAGTTGCCAAATTCTGTGTAGTCAAGCTGAAGCTGACATTTCTGTAGCTTCTCTCAGCATTTCCTTATTGTCAAACTCACCAGCAAACCTCAGATGGTCCACTCTCACGGTCTGCAGGAGTGAGGTCACTTGCTCACACTTAGACCAACTTCCTCCAGCCCCGTCTGTTTAGTTTCATGTATCATGTTCCCACATTGAGGCCATAAGTAATCTGTTCTTTGTTGGCAAGGGTATTGAGGTTCAAGTACATCTCTTTTCAAAATGGCAATGTTGAGAAATATTTACAGATACCATCAGGTTTTTTTTTTTTTTTTTTTTTTTAATTGAAAAAAAACCTTTGGTGTTGGAGAGCTCTGGTAGCTTAGTGCCTAAGGCATCTGACTGCTAACCAGAAGGCTGGCAGTTCAAACTCACCAGCCACTCCTTGGAAGGAAGATTGGACAATCTACTTCCATAGTGTTACTGCCTTGGAAACCCAAGGAGGGGTCTCTCTGAGTTGGATCAACTCAACAGCAGTGACCAACAACAACATTGGTGTTTGGGAGCTCTGGTGGCATAGTGCCTAAACTATTTGACTGCTAACCAGAAGGCTAGCAGTTCAAACCCACCAGCCACTCCTTGGAAGGAACATTGAGCAATCTACTTCCATAGAGATAACCGACTCAGAGGGCTTGCTATGAGTTGAAATTGATTTGATAGCAGTGAGTTGTTTTTTTTTTTTTAATTGGTGTTTAGCCTTTTTCCCCACAGGTCTAACTTGTGCTCCTTCTCTAAATATCTGCTGATAAACTGATGCTCAAGTATAATTCTTTCAAGGTATTCTTAAGGTAAAAATCCATCCTGTTCTCCAAAAGTGCAAATCACAGTCTCACCTAAGTTACAGGTCCATTGTCCAGAAAGACCCTTAAGCTCAGCCATATTTATATTGAACAAAAAAATAGAAGAGACAGCTTAGACTCCTAGTTCTAAGGAATCTATGTGAAAAATAAGTAGGAAATATTTTTTGGGGGTGCTTTTTATCTGTGGGCCATACAATATGAAAATCGTATTTAAAAAAAAATACAGCGTCCTTTAATGTCTTAATCAAAATCAAACTTTCATGTGAGTACATAGGTGTTAGCTCTAAACAGAAAAAATTAGAGTCCTAGCTCCATGCCTATGTCCAGCCCACTAACTAGCCCTCTTTTTCTTTGACATACCTTGATTAACTTGGTCTTATTCTTTGAGGAGCTGCTCACAGGCTCTTCTGCCATAGTGACTCCAGACCATCTTCCTCTTCCTTATGATGACATGATCTTATCACAAACAAGAGGTGTTCTTAAGAAGCTAGTAATGCTGAGAGAGGTGGGAGGAAGCACAATATTAACTGTGTTAAACCAAAAATTTCATCTTTTGTCAAAATGGGTGTAGCAGTCGGAGATGTACTGTGTTCAGCATGTTAATTAATGTGGCTTACTGGGGGCATCCTTTCAAAGCTCCACTTAACGTGACGCTTATGCTGTCCAGCTGGCCCATTTGAATATAGTGCCACTCCAAAAAGTATTTTCTATGGAAGCAGTTTTAAGAACGCTGAGGTTTTGGAGGAACTTCCAGTGAGATGGAGGAATAGGCAGACAAGCGACACAGACCCTCTTCGACAAAGAAAAGAAAAACCACTTGACAGAGATACAGAAGATAATCCTGGAGCCCTGAGCTTTGAAAGGAACTATACAGAAGTGGATTAGGCACCAACTAGTGGAAAAACTTGAACGAAAACAGTGAGTACAGAGACAGTCGCATCTACGGACTGTCAGCTACTCTGATGAGACAACAGCCTGAATATTTCCAAGTGGTGTTGGGACCTGAGAATTGATCTGAAGATCAGTCCCAGTCACCAAGGGCTGCAGGGACAACCACTCTGATGACCTATGACTAGGAAGGTGAACAGCAAGGAGGGAGACAACCTGAGCTGTGGACTTTCTGCTGTCCGGAGAGTGCAGCCATTTTGGATATTTAAAGTGACCGAGGGCACAGCTATTTTGAATGTTTACAAGTGGTGGCCATTTTGGATATTTAAAGTGACCGAGGGCGCAGCCATTTTGAATGTTTACAAGCAGTGGCCATTTTGGATTTTTAAAGTGACCAAGGGCACAGCCAATTTGAATGTTTACCAGTGGCAGCCATTTTGGAGTTTAAAGTGATAGCATTCTCATTTGGATTCCAGGGACCTAAGAACAGGCTCTGTTTGCCAAGGTTGGCAGGGACGTATGAAAGGCTGACAAAGGAAAGAAGACAGGTAGTGAGTGTACAAGAGCTGTCAACTAGTGAATAGAGGAGCACAGCACAGTACCCTGCCTGTATAGACAACATACAAACAAAGAAAACAAAAATTGTGGCCAAGTCACTCCAACACATAATCACCAATTAAATATAAACACAAAAACGTCACAATGCCTCAGAGACAACAGAGCATCACAGTCCACACAAAGAAGCAAGATAAAGTAGGAGAAGCAAGGGACCAGGATACAGACCCAAAACACATCCC